TTATAGTTTAGCATTTTCGCGGCGGTAAAGCCGATTATAAATTTTCGTCAAAGTTCCAAGAGAAAGAGAGTTAGAGAAAGAATGCAGAAAGAATGCAAACGTGCGCTTTCAAAATGTAGTATGCCAAGTTAGTAGTGTAAATTTGTTACGCTATGGAAATAAGAATCATTCAAAATTCAATAATAACTACACCGTAATTACGTCCTCGCTTAATTTATTTCAACTTTTCCACACGCGACTATGCAGCATTGTTGCTCCATTGTGGAACATTGTTTTGCGAAATTGTCAAATCCTCGATAGCAAATTCTTCATTATACAATACACACAAATAGAAGATAAATGACCATGGCGGGAATTTTACTCCTCTAGTTTAATTTCCATACCTGACATTTTAAAATAATACCGCGAACTCGCAAACTTTCTCTCTCTTTCTCTCTCTCTCTCTCTCTCTTTCTCTCGATCATATCGATATTAATGGATCCATCGATTCTGCGAAGGTTGCAAATTATAATTCAATTGTAATAATGTACGAGAAAATTAGCAATATTGACTAATTGCACTTATGATGTGCAGCTGCAAATTATTAGATGCGTACGATAGGTACACTTCGCTAAAATATCTGCGGTAGATATATTTCGGTCAAATGTCAGATCTAAATAATACTGTTCAAAATAATAATATAACAAGTATATAATGTATACAGAGTGAAATAACGCCCACCTAATCATATAGTGCTATTTCTAATAAAAAAACTGAGTCGAAAAGTCTTCTACCATTTTGCAATTTTTGCGATATTCTTTTTAATCATCCAATGAATAAAATCGATTCCAGAAAGAGTCTAAAATCGTACAAAACAACATTAATATATCTTTAAGGGTTCTTTAAAAAAACATATTCAAAATATTTTACAAAGAACACAGAAAGATATCTTAAAATTGTCTTATACATCAATTTATCCGTTTATTCGGCAATTTTTTAGAAATTAATATCTTGTTAACTATTGTGAAAATAATGGTAGAGGACTTTTCGATTCAGTTTTTTATTAGGAATAGCACTGTATGATAATTGGGCGTTATTTCAGATACATCATGTATCACACCTTAATATTAATCGGCAAACACAAGGTGTAATCGAACATAGAAGTACACGGAGAAAACGATTTTGCTGAAATATCAAAAAATTTAGATACGGATTTGAAAATAATTTTGTTAGATTATCAAAATTTTTCGGTAGAACAAATTACTTAAAAAATATGCAAAAAAGATATTACAAAATTCACAAATAATTTTTGTTAAATATTTTTACTTTTGTTACATTTTTATTTACAAAGATATTTTATAGTTTATGTATTAGATACACAAAATTAAAAAAATTTTTGAAAAAAATTTTTAAAACATTAAAATAATGTGAAAATAGTTTATAAAAATTTCCTTGCAAAGTTGATTATATAAATCGAAATTAATAATGGATAACAAAACAAGCAATAATGTAAATTTGCAACTGGTTTCTTAAAAAAAAGTTTTTTAGTGATACATGATAAACTGAGTTTAACCTGCACTATAAACGCTCAAACGATATTTTGTTCTATATTTTTATTGCATATTTCGTTATTTTTATTTGATATTCCATTCCTGAAAAAAAAGAGAGATTTTCAAATAAATCTGACATATTGGTAGAAGAAAAATATAAGCGAGGCAAACGAGTATCTCTCGTACAAGTCTTCTCTCGAAAGCATTCCCGTTTCGTGATAAACCGAGATCGTATATTGACCTTTTACGGTTTATATCCTACGTGGACAATGGCCATAGTTTAAAGTGCATTATGCAATATGTTGAAACATAACAGACAAAGTTTCCGTCCGTATTCCACGTATGAGCCGCGTATTATCGGTTGAATAATTCAGTCCATTTCAATGTTTCACGGTGACATAAAAGGACGTAGTTATGGAAATGAGCGCGTTGAAATTTCATGGGAATCCGATTATTGCCTCGAATTCGACTGGATACGTGTCGTTACTTTACAGGCGACACTAAAAAATATTATGCAACGTTTCGCATATATTGCGTACTTTTGAGATTCCATCCGACGGAATTTTCATCGCGGCTTTTTAATTTAGCCAATTAAGTGACACTAGGAAATTTTTAGCCAGAAATTCATGAAAAATTTGTCGTGCAATTTTATATCACCACCTACGTTTACTCGTCTGTATAATCTTCGTTTCTCCTCGTTTCTTTTTCATTCATTTGCAAGATAATTTTAAAATTTTGACTGTTATAATTTTACATTTTCTTAAAAAAAAGAAAATCTGTAAGAATGAAAGTAAATTTTATATCTATTCGACAAAATTCTTATTCTAATGTTTCTCTCTTTTCTCGATGAGTGTATAAATATCCAGTTCAATTTCCTATTGAAATAAATTTCGCGCATCATAAGTTGTCATTTGTTTCCTAAATATTTTTTTATAAGAAAATATACATATAAGAAGTTGCCATGGACGAGAGTGGAAGTTAAACGCCATAAATCATTCCTGACACATTTATGCCAGTCGCGTGCGACGGGTTTGCCACATTACACTCAACTTCCCAACTTATATAAATTTCATACCGACCAAACCGCGTTTCGGAGTTTTCGCTGAGAAAGTGCCGAGTAATAACGCGAGAGACATTTCTGGGTTAGAAATACTTTTAATGGTGACTTCTTCTAAAGTCTTTTATTCTCCTATTGTTAACAAATTTTATATAAACAATCATATTTTCTCATGTAATGTTCAAGATTATCGGAATTAGAATTGTTATCAATTGCCTAGCAAATTAAAGCTTCATTAATTGGATATTAAAGTCATCGAGTTTTACTTTGATGCTATTTGATACAATTTTGTTATCTTACATACGGTTGCTTCGTTCGCATATAATTTATGGAAACAATTTGCGATAGAAATCAAGTGCGATTTCCACAAATTTATTGAACATCATATTGGACAATGAAATGAAATTATTTCTAGGAATAGGCTAGTAGAATTAAATTTGTTCGCCACGTTAATCTTGCGAAATTCTCGATTTTCAATTTATATTCGATAGATAGTGAAAATATTCAAAATTAATTGCAAATTTCAAAGGATTATATATGATTAACAATATGATTAACAAATATGGATTTCGTGTGATACTTGCAAATTTTAATGTTTACGTTTCTCTTTAGAGGTTTGAATGGAAATTAAAATCATCGCGGAAACACTTTTGAAATCTTGCACTGTGATCAAAGAAACGAGATGCGTAGCAAACTGCTGATGTTTTATGTATACATAGACTTTAGTTGACACGCTGATATCGCAGACGCTGATTTCGCCATAAATATTTAATGAGCAGTCCGTAACGAAGCTTCTCGTTGTCGGATAGAAAATTTGCTTTTTCTGGACGCGCCAATTAAGAAACATAAATAATGGAGAGCCACATGGGAATTTACCTACGGACGAATTTGTAACTTTTCCATCATTTACCGACTCCTGTGAGGCCCAACAATATGTACTAATCAATTATTCAGATTTTTCTCTCAGACGACCATCATAATAATTCACTTTGACTGCGAAGTGGATGAAAATTTTACAGATCATTCGCATTAATTGTCAGTTACTATAATTTCAATTATATAGTTAATTATCAGCACAATAAATATGAAAAAACATAATAATTGATGCAGAAATTAATTCTAAATTACGACGTTGCAAACGTACAAAATTATAAAATGTTGACATCTTTCATAAGATTACATCTATTAAATAAATAAATCGATATAACACGTTTCATCAAACGTAATAATTAATTTGCATTCCGTTTCAATTGACGCTCGTAACGTTCCAGGGCACATTGATCATGAATAGCTATTAATTTCATATTATTACTTCTCTACGTAGTTTCAACATAATTAAATACGGTTACATGGTGGACGCCGTCGTCAAGAAAGTTAATTTAAAAAATAATTCTCGCCTTTGCAGTAAACACAGGAAACCCCATTTCACTTTATCAAAGGTAAATCAATTTGCATTTAAATTAAACTTTTCTCAGGAGCTGATGTTCAAATACAAACGACGGATGAAGCGACAGAAGGCTACTTGATAATGGAAATCGCTTCTTATAAGGTGCGAATCGTGTAAATACTCTACCACCGCTTCGTTCCGAGCTTTGCTTCTTCTCTAAGTTATCGAAATCAGCCTGATTTACGATACTTGAAGAGCAAGAAACTTTTGCAAAGATACGGAGATTCGAGGGCGCGAATTCAATCTTTTGAATATCACTGTCTAATGGTATTTAAGAGTAAAATTCGATATATGAACGTTACTTATTCAAGTAACACAAATAACAACGACTTGAGGTAGTAAGAAGCACTTAACTCAGGACGTGTTCCTATTTCGTAATGTCGTTGGAATTCTATCTACTTTTCTGCTGTCCGTCCTTGTCTTCCATTCTCGATAATGTTACGCGCTTTTATGTACATATAAAATTCGCATGTATATATAAAAGTGACATTAAATCGACTTTACGCACTCACTATTCCTTTAAGACATAATTATTCTCTATAAAAGAGAAATCGGCAAAATCTTTCTCTTAGAATAAAAATAGATACGTATCAACTCGAACGTTTTAAAAAAATCTTATATTTCCAGAAACAAAAGAGAAAAATTGTTTACACAAATATTTATATGCAGGAAAATAAATGAAAATGATCTTCACGGATCTTCTCGATGCAAATAGATCATATATTTGTATAAAGTTAGTCTGTTTATGATGTTACTTGAAACATTAAAGTGCCATAATAAATACTTTGATGTTTCGAATTTGATATATAAAGTAGAAAATTCTCCTGATGAGATATTTTATAATGCAAAGAGTAATTAATGATAATTTGGGGCGGTTTGCTCGAGAAGAGAACTTATTGCTTTTAACTTAACAAGTGGCAATACAAAAACCGTTCACTGATGGAAATTAAGCGATGAAAGTACTCACTGCATATGTAGAGTTGCGACCGGCTTGTCCGAGAAGAGAACGACTGGTCGGTCGAAGCGTTGGTTCCGACCACAAACGCGAGCACTGCCCTCGAGTTGAAGCCAGCCGCCCTCGCACCTATAACAAAAAGATGAGACCTCTCAGTAGCTGTCTATTAGCTCTGAACGTACAAACTGATATTCTCTTTCCTGCCACTCGTTAATTAATTTCGACAATTTTCGAACCGACTACCTCATCACACTTTACGAGTTTTTAACTCGCTCCAAGTAGTGGAATTTTTCTCGCTAAGCGTTGCAACGAGTTGAATTTTGTCTCGCAAAGTTTTTTTTTTTTTTTTTAGGAAAGATGCATATTTTACTGTGAAATCGCGGGTAAGAATTTTTCACTGCTATCCCTGAGTCCGGAATATTCAAATTGCTTCCGAGGGCATCGCCTTCGTTAGGGTAACATTTGTTTTTATTCGCATATTCATTCGTGGACTTTGCATTTATTTACAATTACGTATTAAAATTTTGTTTTGTTAATCTCGGAAAAAAGCATAATTCTCAGTCTCTTGCGGCAAGAAAGGGAAAGCCTTTCATTTTGAGATCGTTTACTTTACGAAGTGGCATCTACATTCAACTTCGGTTTACGTGCCGCGAATTTGATTTTATTCTTCTATAGTTAAGATTTGTACTTGCTATTCCGGATTGAATTTGGTAGGAATCGTATTTTGAATCCAATATGTGTGCGAAGTTTAATGTTAACTAAGTTTCGCCTACAGTACGAGTTTCACTTTGCTTAAATTAGATTTGTAAAGTAAAATTGAATTTAGGTTCCGTCCGAGAAAATGTCGATGTTAATTTTAACGGCGAGTTTGCGATATGAGAAAATAGAGGAGATCAGAGAAGAAAAGGCATTGTAAAGAATATGTCCACTTTTATTTAAGTAGAATTATCATGTCTTAATTAAGGAATACTTTAAATGGAGACAAAAAGTTAAAGAGAGTCAGTAGCAAACTTACATTATTTGTTATCATTTTGATTAGTTTGCTGTTTGATGAGAAGTTAGTCGTGTAATTTCTAAAGGCTTCTCTACATAAGTCGTAATTATAAAATGTAGTTTGCAAACACGATAATTAATTAGAAGCGTCAATGAATACTTTGGTATTGACCTCTTCTGATTGGACCTCGACTGCTGCGTTTGCGAATTACGTTGTATGATTGCAACTTATGTTAAGAAGTCTTTAGAAATTGCAACAAGTAACTTTCCACACAGAGAGAATTTTCTCTTAAAATTTACTCTAAAATTTCTTTGAAAATCATGGAAATTATGAGACAACATGACAATTTTGAAGAATTTTACATAATTCTCTTTTCTTCTTTACGATTAAAATCGCTACACATCATTAACATAAAATAAATATTAAAACTTTATTTAGTACAAAAATTTTATATTAATTTTCTTCTTTATACTAAGATTCCTTTATTTATAAATGCTTTATAATATTCACAAAGATCAAAAGTCCCCAAAAGTAATATAATTACACTGAGAAAAATTTATGGTTAAAAATGAACGAACCAGAAGATTCTAATCATATCAAACAGAATTCTAGTTATTTCAAGTAAAATTATAATAGTCAATGCAATTTACAGACTTTTTTTGTAAGAATATATATACACATTTATATTAATTTTTGTAAAGCCTTTAGAAAAACTAATGGGTAATAAATTATATATTTTTAATATCAATACATAAATTGTTATTAAATGTATACAAATACGTACTTTTTATCACATTTTTTTTATATAATTCACAAAGTTGTTGCGTGAATTATGCTGCTAATTGTCTTTATCAAGGACGGGGCACTCCCGATAATAACATTTCGTAGGGTAGATGCGCGATCCTATGTGACCAGGAGAAAACGATTGCCAGCGAGGGTCGCACTGAAATTACTTCTTCGATTACGGGGGACTTCAAAGGATTCGTTTTCCCGAGGCGTCGTCGGCTAGGATTGTCAGGATAGGGATGAAATGAGAGAACCCAGGGATGGATGAACGGGATGGAATCGGATGGTTACGCAATGCGTGATACGCAACGAGAAAATCAATCAATGATTCAATCAGACTTGCCGTCTCGGCTCACCTTCGTAAGAGGGAAACCGGGCGAAACGCGCTATGTTACGCTTGGTTAATTGTTACTTATCGAGATTTCAAAGAATTTGCGGCGGTGATGAAGGATATCCTCCACCAGGGAGGTACATAGAATATATATATTCGAACTCTGTATATATACACACACACACACACACACACACACACACGCGCGCGCGCGCGCGCGCACGCACACACACACACACACATATATATATATAGAGGGTGCGTCACCAAAATCCGGACAAATTTCTATTTAAATTTTCCACTATATTGTATCTTCGCCAGAGGCGACCAAGGCGAATTGTTGTTGGCATCGAGAAAGTTTGATGCTTCTAGTAAACAGTCATATTCTCAAAATGGCCGCGATGTTGAAATCAAGTGCGAAGTATCGAAGAGCCGCGATCATCAAAGGCTTGCTGAGTGCTCAGCAACGGAAATAATTCTTTGAATATCCGAGATCAACCGTTTATGATGTTGTGGCAAAATATACTTAGAATTGTGGCAAAATATACTTAGAATTGTGGCAAAATATATTTAGAATAGTCCAACAAAAGTTCCAATATGTCAGCAAAGAAGAGCCACTCGAAAGAACGCGAGGACCCTTCGCAGTTATTGAAAGAACTCAAGCACTGATTTCGGCTGATCCAGGGCAATCGTTGTGAAAATTACCATCGATTGTGTAGTGTAAGCGAGCAAACGAGTAACAATGCGTCGAATTGTCGAGGAGGACCTTCGATACAAATCGTATACATTAAAAATACGACAGATGCTCTCCGAAGCTGCCAGGAGAAGCCGAGTTGCTTGCCTCGGCTCCCATTCTGGCCTTCCAGCAGCTCAGATTTAAATCTCTTGGACTATTACGTATGGAACGTAGTTAAAAGGGTCACAAAGAAGTCTCGGCATCCCAATGTGACATCATTAAGACTTGCTATTGAGGCAGCATAGACAGCGCTACATTACAGATGCGAACACTTCAAATCGAGAATAGAGGCCGTTATTCAAGCTAATCGAAGAATATATCGAATAATTGTGCTCTACAGGGATTCTCCAAGTGCCACGTAAAAGGATTTTTTGTAACTATAATTTTTCATTTTGTTTAAAGAAATTGTTCGATTTGTCCAGATTTTGGTGACGCATCCTATATATATCTCCCGAAGTATTAATAACATAATATTAACAGTGACATTAATGTTATATTTTCCACTCAATAATAAATGTAATATACGTGTTGATAATAGTTACACTGTTGAGCAGGGAATTATTACACTGACGCGCATTATATTATTGTTAGTTGGTGTTTACTGGATCCTACGTTCATGGGCATAACCAAGAAGAAACAGAAAGTGACTTTTTCTAAAACTTAAAAAACAAAAACAATTAAAACTGTTTAAACGAGCTACGCTTAAATATTCACAAGAAATTAAAGAAAAAGAAGGAAGAATTGGAAGTAAAAGTTATAAAAAGATTTTTTTTGAGAATCCAAGACGACTAGTGTTATGAATTTAAGTTTTTCCAGTTCGAAGAATCAGTACAATCTTAAAAGAAAAATAAAGTAAAAGAAAATTAATATGTGAAAATTAAATATGTGTAATATTGCAATTTTTACCAGCTAGTAATTAAAAATAATAACAATAAGAATATTATTTTAGTAAATGTGAAACAATTTAAATGTGGAAAATATCCAGAAAAATATTAATTCGGAAAACCAATTCGACGTGCGAATCAGTTCGAATAACTACAAATATGGCACATTGTATGTATATAGTATGCACATATATATAATTCATTTTGAATTATTTAAAGCATTAAAGACCTAGCTTCGGTACAGGCTTTTAGTTTATCGATTAAAAATAATAATATAAAAAACATAAAACAAATCCAATTCATTATTCAATAATCGACTACTCTTTCGGATTCTAAATTTTAAAATTTGACTTTCTTCGAGGAACAAAATCCTCCGCCTATGCGAATAATGTTTTATATAATAATAATGCTGAAATAACAGACTTTAATTTTTTATCTATGCTAACAGCATAAATAGAAAATTTAAAAATTATCTGTTATACTGTTAAAACATATACACTAATTGCAAAGACATTGACAGATTGACATTTAACAATTTGCTGGTGTCGCTAGAAGGATCTGCGATAATTAAAAATTGAATCAATTACCCAACCATTTTCGAACCATACGAAAATCTGTTATCAGACATGGAGATTTGGTGCAGTGCGTATCAATTGCATTTTGCCGGATAATGCAATTTGACTGTCGAAACAATCGGTTAACGCAACCTCGATTCTGCATTGACAGGATTAATAGATAGTCATATTGAGTACTCGGAGCAGTCTTGCTTAACATCAATAACGTTAATTAACATATCAACGAGACAATCACAGAGACGTGTATTCCCGTGTGTAATACCTTTCGTCTCCTAGGGATTCAGGTCCTTTATCATTGTATTGACTCATTCAAATCTTGATACTATTCGTGCAACGTGCGGATGCTCGCGTGGCATTGTTGCGCGAAGAGACGGATACGTACTACCATAGTTCACCATTGTGTCGAGCGTACGCTTATGAATTAATTGCTTGCGGCTTGTAGGCTTCGACGGGTTGCAGATCCGATCGTCTCTCGCGCGATCCTCTTCGAACTTTATTGGTGTCCGAGAGGACATATATCTTCCCGTAATTCGTACGGGTCTAACTTCTGATCCGAGTTACGATAACATTAACGTTCTGCAGAAAATACGAACTTGATTGCTTGAACTTGGTTATGTCCTTTATAAAAAAACAACGTTTTTCAAATAAAGAAATATGCAATAAAGAAATATGCAATTGCTGATTTTCGTTTATACGAATAAATTATAATTCTGTCATTATTTCATATATTTTTAAGATATATCGTAAAATATGACACGTTAACTCTTCGAAGCTAACATCAAAATCTGTAATGTATAGTTATTGATGCTGAGTCCTTGTGAGA